AGGGCTGGGCTGCTGCGTTTTAGCATTGCAGAGAGCGGGCTACGGAGTAGAGACTGGGGGCGGGGGGCCAGCCGAGACTCGGTTTTAGCAGATGCACGAGGGACCCTCCCAAGGAAAGGCTCTGTCGGGATTTCCCCCACCCACTCATTTTATTTGGCGGGGAGGAGGCGCGATAATGATGCTTATTATCGCTGCTTTTTTTGCTCTAACTTTGCACATTGTAACATCCCTTCAGTGAGGAAGACGCCGATCCCCTCTAGGATACTCATCTGAAACACACACCTATGCCTACATTTAGAGCTGCAAATGCGAAGGAAGGGAGTGTTCTGCCCCATCGCCCCCCACCCCCAACTTCAAGAAACTATCTCGTGAGTCTCAGCTTTGTGCTCAGAAATGGGGAGTTATTTCATTTTTTAACACAATAATGTGAGAGTTTTTGCAAACTGTGAAGCAGCTTTTAAATAAGAAGGGGTATTAGAGGCAGGAGATTGAGACATATGGAAGGGAGGAAAGGAATGCAGTCTCTTTTTCCCATGAATATAAGCCAAACTGCCCTGAGTAATCTGGAGGCAGAAGAGAGCAAATACTGGGGTTATGAATATACGGATCGTAGTAATAGTAAGAATGCCATCTGAGTGTCTGCTGTATGTTTTCTGTGGATACCATGGTTTTTGCCTACCCAGTAGCCTAGACCAGTGGTTTGCAAAATATGGATCCTGGGAGTAGCAGCATTAGCATCACCTGGAAACTTATAGAAATGCAGATTATTGGACACTTGCCAGACCTACTGTATCAGAAACAGTGGGCCCCCAAATCTTTTTTAACAAACCCTCCAGGTAATTCTGATGCAAGCTAACATTTGCGAACCGCTGGCCTATAGTGAAGGGGCCACCCAGTCTGTGAATCACAGTGATGATAGCGAAAGCGTTTCACAGTTTACCAATCTCTTTTACACCCATCGTGCCATCCCAGCCTCACTTTAGTCCTACTACTCTGTGAGTTTTCTGACTCTCTTCTGTCTTCTTCCCCTTCCAACCACTCATTTGAATGTGTGTCCTAGAAGAGCCTAAGTTGCTAAGAATTTACTTCAGTTAAGTAGCTACTTTCTAAATGAGGCAGCTCCATTTTTAGAAGACAGGCATTTAGGATGGGCTGGAAATGTAGAACCACCCCCACCTCCACTACACAGTATCAGGCACAATGTGGAAACACAAGGCCACAAGTCTTTAGCGTTCTCAATGATGAGGGAGTGAAGACGGCGGCAGGACTAGAAAGAACCAGTAGGGGCAGATGCCTTCCATGCAAGATGTCACGCAGAGTCTACTGCCCCTTCCCTGACTCTCCCCAGAGAAGTGCAGGGGCCCCCACAGACCCTGGGCAAGTCTTGGGCGGCAAGCCGCGGCCAGCAGCGTATGATGAGAACATGCAAACACATGTTCATGACCTGACTCTAGGCTGAAGGAAAGTTGAGGGAGTGGTTGCGAAACGTTAAGAGACCATTATCATTTTGAATTATGCCTCATTTCCGTACTAGGTTGTAGTTGATCTTAAGTTTGATTTTTATGTTATAGACATATAGCATGATGGCCAAATTTCTTGTTTGTGGTCATATTTAGCAAGGTGTAATGCAGGTAAACAAAAAGTAGTATGTTTCATGAAGTCAGCCAATGCTTTGCACTCCATTTTAGAGAGGCAGTGTAGTATCATGGTTACGAGCTGGGACTCTGTGTCCAGACTGCTTGGGGACAAATCCTGGCTCTGCTCTCCACTGACCATGTGATTGGAGGCAAGTTGTCTAACCTCTTTAAGCCCCAGTTTCCTAGTTTAGAAGTGGGGATACCTAGGGGGAGGGTATAGCTCGAGTGATAGAGCACATGCTTAGCATGCACAAGGTCCTGGGTTTAATTTCCAGTACCTCCATTAAAAAATTAATTAAATAAATATACCTAATTATCTCCCCCTGCAAAAAAAGAAGGGATACCTACCCTACAGGGTGTTGGGTAATATATTTAAAGCACTTAGACACTGCCTGGCACAGAGTGAGGGCCAAAGCTATAAACAGATGTCACCCAGTTTCAAACAAGTTGCACATTCCACTCCAGTGGCTTTATCTTAGGGGTTCAAATGTGTCTCATCCATTTTTGACTTTCACTGAGTATCACGTTGGAGAACAAATATACTCCTGCCAGAGAAGTTTGGGTAAGAAGTTGTGTAGAGAGCTGTGTGACCTGCAACCACCAGTTTGAAGGTGATGGTAAATTTTCATTGGCCATAGTAGATTCTTGAGTACCTAAAATAAAGAGAACTTGGGGGGAAGGTATAATTAGCTCAGCAGAGGGAGGGTGCAGCTCAGTGGTAGAGTGCATGCCTAGCATGCACAAGTTCCTGGGTTCAATCCCCAGTACCTCCATTAAAAAATAATAGTAATAATTAAATAAATACACCTAATTACCTCCACCCACACACAACAAAAATAAATAAATACAAAATAAAGTAAAATAAAGAGAACTTGAAAATACTTTGAAATTTTGTTTAAAAGATTGGATCCTTTTGTCATTCTAGGTTTCTTGGGAAAATAGAGGCACATACTATTATTTTGATGTTCAAGATAAGACAAAAAAATTGCAGATTTACAACGCAAGAGATTATTATTCCGTATGTAAGAGTAGCATTTTGCATCTTGCTTGGCACCATTAGTTAATTGCAGATAAATAACCTGGTGTAGTGGGAAGAAAACTGATGTTGGTGTTAGGAAATCCTTGTAAGAATTCTGGTTCTGTTACTTTCTATGTATTCTTGGGCAACCAAATCACTTACCCTCTCTCACTGTTGGTTTTCTTTTTTCTTTTTTTCTTTTTTTTTAACTTTTTTTTTTATTGAGTTATAGTCATTTTACCATGTTGTGTCAAATTTCAGTGTAGAGCACAATTTTTCAGTTATACATGAACATACATCTATTCATTATCACATTTTTTTTCGCTGTGAGCTACCACAAGATCTTGTGTATATTTCCCTGGCTATACAGTATAATCTTGTTTATCTGTTCTATATTTTGAAATCCCAGTCTGTCCCTCCCCCCACCCCCCCGCCCCCTCACTGTTGGTTTTCTCATCTGTAAACAAGGGCTAATATAGCTATAATATCTATCCTCACATGATTATTTTAAGGATTAAACTAGGTAATGCATGTGAAAACACTTGACACATAGTATGTGCTCAGTAAACCTGAATGAAACAAAAACAATTAACAAACTTGTCTAAGCCAACATGAGAAAAGTCACGATTATCCCACTAAACTTAATGCTTTTTGAAAGGAAATCCCAGTTAGGCTAATGAAAGCGGGCACTCCTGGTAGTATCAAATTTGCTAAACCAGTAAGCATATAAACAAGGAGTTAAGATCAAGGTTATGGAATCCTGTTATCCTTGTCAACAGCCAATTTATTTGGCTTGAGAAACTGAAATTTAATTATACAGAGTAAGGTACCAAGCTCAACAAGTAAGCATAGATTTCTTTTTCTTTTTGAAAAGGCAATTAACTCTAAGAAATGAGACTTCTCTTTTTCCAATAGCAAGAGGCTTATACATTATCCAAGAAAATTGTTTCCTATTCTGTAGGAATTTTTTTTAAAAAACATTTTAAACTTCAGATGGCTTGTCAGCTGTTCTTAAGTTTTAACAAACATACTAGTGAGTGCCTTGCTTAGAAGGTAAAAGTACTCTCGAAAGAGACTAGATGTAATAATTTTGATCACTGTATTTTGATACCAACATCATTACAAGTTTTCCTTTGGTAGTGTAATTTTCTTCCCTTTCTTTTGGAGATTTCCACTTCCACTCAATTCTCTCTTTAAAAGAAATTGGGTTTGGTTTAGTTTTAGGAGGTGTGAACTATGCAAATTATCTTCAGGGCGATTGGCTGGCTTGCTGATGACGTCAAAATCCCACCACCAAAGCACAGGCTTTTTATTGGCTGTTGTAAGAGGCAGGCAGGACTGGGAATGCTCTGCATCACTGGTGAGTTGGAGAAAGCTCTTTTGAGTCTAAACTAATTTTTTTATCCCGTTTTTTCAAGTAAAATGTACTCAGAAGCATTTTCCACGTGTTATTACATTTTTCCATGTTTTCTGTATGTTATTACTTAGACATATGTAATTCAAAAATGATTGTTTACCATTCTGTCTTGGTTTATTTAAACAATACCCACCTTATTCTTACCTATTCGTTTCCTTTTTTTTTTTTTTTTTCTTGCCCGCAGAAATAAAACTGTAATTATTATTTGTATGGAGAAATTGTATATATTATTTCATCCATAGCACAAAATCTCTGATACCTAACTGGCAATGTTTTAAAGAAGTAAATAAACCCAGATTGTCCCTTTTATAACCATTTTCTCACAGCTTCCCTAAGACTTGCATAGGGAACCCAAAGTCTGTCTCACTCCTGGGACTAATCAATCTCCGATCTGTAATACGAAAAGCTGGACGTCCCTGCTTCTCCTTGCAGGTAGGACGCTCATTCTTCATTCTGGCTGCTCGTTGCTTCTCCGTAATGGGAGAAAAGTCATAATAATCATGGCCATGAACAGAGGAGGCTTGTGCAGCATAAACTTAAACCATGATTGTACTGCTGTGTATGAGAGCCTAGGACTAGTAAAATGGCTGCTTTGTGTCCTTCCCCATCTCCATCGGGAATCCATACAAACCTCTGGAGATTTATTACTTAACGCTGAAAATGCTAGACCTTAAAAAATAAGAAAGAAAAAAGAGACAAGAAAAGAAAGAAAGGAAATATCAGCTTTGCTGGGATAGAATCAGTTGTTTATTATTTTATATCTGAAGAGAAATATCTGTGACAGTTCCATCATGTTCTTCTATGTGGTACTTTTAATACAATAATAAGAGCAAGAATGTACCGTTTAAAGAGAACCACAGGTGTTAGGCATTTTGCTAGGATGCGTGTGAACGTTCTCTCAATCCCCACCACAAATCTGCGAGGTGTTATTCACTCTACAAATGAGAAAACAGGCTCAGAGAGACCACGGCACTTCCACAGACTTGAAAGCTGCACTCCGTTCTGTCTGACTCCAAACCTCAAAGCCTAAGAGCTCACCCTTTCATGACTGTCATTTTGAGCCCCTCTTGTGGTAAAGGATTTATCGATGAGTGTCAGGCTACAGGTTGCTGAATCTACATTCATTCAAATATATTTATGAACTAACATCATCTACAAAGGTTTTACAAGATGCTTATGGAAGAGGGAGAACAAAAAATGACACTGGCCCCTGCCTTTGGACTTTAAGTCCAGTTGGGGAAATGAGACACAAATGAAATGTGAAACAAGATAAGACGGGATGTCTGTCTACACTCCAAGGGGGAGATAACTAAGTACCTCAGACCAGAGAGAGATCTCTGTGAGGGATTAATAAATTGACTCCAAAGAAGAGTTTTATACGCATTCATCTATATCATGAGTGTTAAAAGGATGAAGTGTCACTTTAGGATGCTCCTGAAGGCTTTAAGTAGGTAAGAACTATATAAATCATCTTGAATATAGAATCATTCAATATTTGGATCTCTTTAATTTTACATCTGCACATTAGAGAGTTTTAACGGCATATCAGTGATGGGAAGAACATTTTTTTTTTATTCCCTGAGATCATAGAGCATTGTTTCTCAAAGTATGGTTCATAGACTACCAGCAACATAAATCACCCTGGAATTTAGTTACACATGCAGATTCCTGGGCCCCATCCCACACTAATGGAAACAACTTCCAGGGGTGGAGCCTGAAAATCTGACCTTTAAACAAATATCCCAGGTGATTCTTATATCATTAAGTTTGAGAACCACTGATGGAGAGGAAGACTTGGTTGATCATATTGACAGAATAGCTCCTTTTTTTAAAAATCAAGCACTTACTATATGTCTGAGTCACACTCCCAGTTAGTCTGCAAAACAGACTCTGTAGATAAATATCATAATCTTCATTTTACAGAAAAGGAAACTGAGGCTCAAAGAGGATTAAAAACTAGCCCGAGGTCACCCGGCTAGAAAGAGCTCTAGCCAAACCAGTTCTGCCTGCCTTCAATGTCTGTACTTTTCCCACAATGCCTACTGCCTTGGGATTGAGTGCCCATTATGCACTGTGTATCATTTCAATCTAAACTTTCCAATACCCTCCAATGGTACGCTTGTCATATAGGATAACTAAACTTCAGAAATATTAATATGCATTTCAAAATTACCTTCCAACAGCTGAAACAGAGCTTCTTACTAGAGAATGACTTTTCTGCAATTTTACTTCCTCCTGACAGTTCCTAAAACCTTTCTCAGCTCTGACTATTGGGGCTTCCTTCCTTTGGTGTTATTTATTCCAACTCTTTGTACCTAGTTTGAAGTCTAGGTTTTGTTGCTAACAGCTGCCACACCTTTTCCAGACACAGGAATGGAGAGCGACAGTCTGAATCAAGAAGAAATGTCAGTTGCTTGAAAAACCTTCTGCTGATCTTGTGACTGCAAAGAGAAAAAGACAACTTTATCAAGGAAACCTCTCCTGGGAAAGAGGAATCACACTATCTCATGTGAGATCTTATCTTGGAGTACGCATGTTTATGTAATAAATTATTTTCACGGAATCTCATATGACTCTGGGGCATACCCAAGCAGATACAGGGACAAAGGGCTGTTTTCATTAGTGAATCTCCCAGGCTTGTCTGAAACCTCACATAGGATGCTGGTGAAAGAAGACAGTGCTCTCTTTCAAGATGCGATGACATACCACAATTCAGGAATATATAGCTATAGCCATGTAATATCTGTACCTTCTCACCCAGTAAACCTTCCAGGGAATTATCCTGGGAAATAATTCAAAAGAGGAAAAGAGCAGCAACACCACAGAAAATGTTTCTCACAATGAAGAACCTGAAACCACCTAAATGCCCAAGAACAGGGAGCGGATGAGTAACAGTGGCGTTAGTGTCATGGAATGTCGTGCTGCTATTAAAAGAGATAAACATGGCGAGTATATAGAAACCTGAAAAGCTTTCTTTAAATAATATAAAAGGAAAGAATTAGAAGGCAAAATTGTGTTGAGCTAGAAGGGCCTTGGAGTCAGATGAACCTGTGTTGTTAGCTGTATGGGCTTAGACAAGTCACTTAACCTGAGTCTCAGTCTCATCTATAAAATAAGGATGGAAATATCCATCTTCCCAGGGTTGTTGTAAGAGCTAAAGATGATGTGAACTAAATGGATACAGTTTGGATAAGGACGGGAGGGGAGTGCTCAGAAATAATTATACCAAGTTTTATGCCAAGACATAGGACGGCTGAAAATTTTATTTGAAATGAATTATTTTTATATTTGAATTGAATACTGTTTTTTCCCCTTGATTCCTCCACACCCGGAAACAAATGTCATAGCCCCTATGCAGGAGATGTGTGTGCATGTCATCTGGAAACTGGCTTATGGGTCACTAAGCCCTACTTGGCGAAGGGTGCTAGATCAGTGCTTCTGAAATCAGCTCCAGGAAAGTGACAGGAGCCCTAGACACTGACACACAGGAAGGGGACTCAGCTAGGTTGAGGGCTGGCTTTCCAAGCACTTGGATGGAGGTTTATGTGAAGCTTGTTAGGTAGTGCTGCCTGTCTCTACAATTTGGGGATGGGGAACATTCTCATGACCAGGAAGCTTTCCATCTACCTTTGCTTTGGAAACCTAGCCCTTACCTCCTTTAAACCACCTCCCTACAGAGCTTGATTCATGAGAAAGTGAGTAGACAGGAGGATAACATGAAATACCTTCTTTCGACAAATATGTATTAAGCATATTCTTTGTGTCAGGCATTGTGTTTGGCACATGGGGATAGATACATACTAAGCCAGCTGGAATATGTTTTGGAACTCAGGCTTCAGGATCTTCCAGAAAACTTCTACCAAGATAACAGAGACACAGAGAAACGTATTGGTAGGTTTCCATCTATCCATCTTTTTTCCATCCAGGATCAGCCCAGAAAGATAAAAATATAACCTGTTACAAGGTCTCATACTGGGCAGGCAAAGAAATTAACCAAAACCAAGTTCCACTGAAATGTCAGGCAACAGAGTGGAAAAAGGATCAAAAATACTTAGAGCTGGAAAATCATTACCAATCTACTAATCTTACTTTTGAGAAATGAAATGTGGCAAAACTATGTTCAGGGCTTCTTTTGGAAAGCCTGGGGTCAGTTACTCTAAAAATTTTCTAGAAACTTTGTTTGTCTACTTGGCAGTAAAACAAAGATTACCTCTGTTTGGGGTTATACTAAATTTCTTTAATTGATTGTTTTTCCCTCCCATGTTCCACATCCTAACAGCCAGGGATGCCACTGATGAAATATTCAGCACTGGAATGCTTCTTAATGTATAATTAAATAGAATGCATTTAGAAATTCCGTTTTATGGACCTTTAATCTTCAAGTTAATAAACCTTCATGTAAAGAACATCAGAAACAAAATATTCTTGGAAATACATAATTTTCCTTGGAAAAACACATACTCCTAAATGTAATTACTATCCGTAGGAAAGAAAGATAAGATTTATTAAGCCATCTTATGTGCCAGACAAGGTACTAACTGCTTTATACATTTTGTTATTTAATTTTTCCAACCCATGAAGTAGGTATTATTGGTTCCACTATACAGATGAAGTAACTGAGGCTCCAAAAAACTAACTGATTTGCTTAAGGTCACAAAGTAAGTAGTGTCACAGATAGGACCAGAACTCAGGTCAGATTCTCTCTGGCTCCCATGCTTTTACCTTAATTTTTACAGGATTTCATTTCCAAAGCACTTTCTCTTCCTACAGCTCATTCCATCCAACAATACAGAGATGTTAACACAGTCATAGCATTCTCTCTTTTAACAAGTCACAGGACTAGAACCTAGGCGTATAGCAATCATCATCTCAGTTACCTTGTATTGAATGCTTTCTATGTGCAAGGCTCTGTGCTAAGCATTTTTTATACTTTTTTCCCCCCATTTCAACCCTCATAATAGACTTATGAGGTGGTCACTCATTTGATGGATGAGAAAACCAAGACTCAGAGGAGCCAATGACTTGCACAAGATGATACAGTAACAAGTGAGGACTAGAACTCACTTTGTAATAATGATAACACAATTGATAAAAGCAATTGCTACTTATTGAACACTTACCATGTGTCAGATACTTCTTTTTAAAAGACTTTTTATTGCTGTGTACTTTGAGATCTATAATTGGCCTTGCTCTTTTTAATGCTCACAATAACCATATGATGAAGGTACTATTATTCCCATTTTACAGATGAGGAGCTAAGACTTACAGAAAATAAGTAATGTCTCCAAGGGCATACAAATGGGAAGGGATGGAGCTAGGATTTGAACGCAGGTCTCCTTGACTCTAGTACTTATTTCCTTAACCCTAAGGCTTTGCTGATTCCCATTCTGTCCCCATACACCTTTGCTACCCAAAGGGTGGTTCACAGATCGGCAGCATTGTCCTGGGAGCGTCACCCAAACATCACCTGGGAGCTTGTCATAAATGTGGAATCCCGAGCCCCCACCCCACGCCTACTGAATCAGCAGCATATTTTAACAAAATGCCTGCATGATTCTTCTGCACATGAAAGTCTGAGAAGCACTGCTCTGCAACACGACCAGCAACATACAGAATAAGCAGACAAGGGAGCAAGATGGTCTGGAACAGGGATTCTTAAAACAAGTTCCCTTGGAAATCAGTTTGAGATGGAAGAAGGTATGTTCTGCTGTTCAACTTGATAATGGGGCTCTTCTCCCAATTAAGTTAACGAATTATATTTTCTCATCTTCCAAAATTCTTCCTGTCTTCTTTGGCATTGAATATCACTTGCCTGTTAGTAACTTTAGAAGATGACAACAATTGAACAGTAGTAAAGTAGTAAAGAAAACTCAGAAACATTGTTTAATTGTTTGTAGTATTTTTTTCCCCTTAATTTGTGGGGTTTTTTAATTCTTGGGATATGTGATTGTGATTTTACGTTGCATAATAGAGAACAGTCATCGTTTCTCTTAGTAAACTTGTTCCTAATGCATGTTACAGAATTAGATGTTAATGTCTTTTGGTGTTCCACAAAAAGCGCCTGATTCCCACCTATAAAAACATCAGGTTCAAGGCTTCAGAATCGCTCTAGAAATCATCTAACCAAGAGGAACTTGCCATGGAAAAGTAAAGTTAGAAAGAGTTACACATTTCTCACCTGTTCCTCTTCCTCCAAAGGAGATAAACATTAATAGCTACAAATATAACCCACTGAGTCTTTCTGGATAGAAATATGAGTGTTTTTTTATGTTCTCCTTTGTGTTTTTCTGAATATTCCAAAATATTTCCAGTGAACATTCATTCATCCAACAAATATCTAATGAAAACTTACTAAGTGACAGGCACTGTTTTGGGTGGTAGAGACAGCAATGAACAAGCCAGATAAAAATTTCTCTTCTGGATTAGTGATTGCCAGAGGCTGGGGTGAGGGTGAGGGTGGGAGCTGGGGGCAGAATGGAGGAAAGGAGTCAAAAGGTACAAACTTCCAGTTATAAAGTAAGTCAGTAATGGAGATATAATGTACAGCATGGTGGCCAGAGTTAATAATACTGTATTGCACATTTGAAAGTTGCCAAGAAGAGGGAGGGTAGAGCTCAGTGGTAGACCGCATGCTTAGCATGCACAAGGTCCTGGGTTCAATCCCCAGTACCTCCATTATAAATAAATAAACCTAATGACCCCCCCAAAATAACAAAATAAGTAAAATGAATACATTAAAAAAAAAAGAAAGTTGCTAAGAGAATAAATCTTAAAAGTTCTCATTACAAGAAAAAAAATTCTTTGACTATGTATGGTAATGCATATTAACTAGACTTACTGTGATGATCACTTTACAATAGATGTAAATATCGAATCATGATGTTGTATAGCTGAAGCTAATATAATGGTTGTATGTCAAGTATACTTAATAAAAACCAAAAACTTGGTTCCTATGTCAGTACTTTTAGGCCTTGCCTCTTGGGCTGGTCAAATTCCTTAACGAAGACACTGCAAGTTTCCTCTCTGGAGAGTAACCATCTGGTGGTCAGAGGGCTGGAACTGAATGGAGGAGGACGGCTGGGAATCTTAGCATCCAGTATCTTAGTTCATTTAATCTCCCTTTTTATACAGAGAACTCCTGTTCAATCCTCTCTGGAGAATAAATACTTCAGTCTTTTGGGGGTAGATTTGCAGGGGAAGGGAGTTGAAGGAGAGGGGATGTGATTTGGGGATGTGACTGCTCTTAAACAGCTTTCAAAATAACTTGTTTTAATCCCTGCCCAGGGTACACGCACCTGTACTTGGCAGCCCTGCTGATCAGGGTGGGGCTCAGCTTTTCCCACTCTGAGTTTAGGATTCAGGTTTCTCCGGGCTAGTAACTTAGTTCACACTGTCCATTTGCTTTCCAGCTTCTACTTTTTTTTTTTTTTTTTTTTGCTACTGGTTCCTCTCATTATTGTGAGTTTATGCTTTTAAAAAAATCTCATTACTGTCATTTTAGTGTTCTAGAAGGGAACAAAAGTCAACCTGTGCATTCATCTTCATTAACTGTTTAATTCTCATCACTTTCAGGAAACACTTTCCCAGACCATCTTAAATCCTCTTGTGAACATTCAAACCCTTATTCTTCACCCATTCCTCCTTAGAATTAGATATTTGAACACAATATACATTTTGACTTATAGGTGATTATAATTTAGGAAGAGCTCACTGTCATTCACATCCTTTAAGTTTTAAATAGCAAGAAACGATCACTTTCCTCATCAGCTCAAAAATGAGGATGAGACGTACACATATTAAAAATTATGGGGGGAGGGTATAGCTCAGTGGTAGAGTGCATGCCTCACATGCACAAGGTCCTGGATTCAATCCTCAGTACTGCCATTAAAACAGTAATAAATAATTTATTTATTACCCCTCAAATTGTTTTAATTATGGGGGTAGGTAGAACAAGTTCTATCCCTCTATTAAAAATAAATAAATAAATATAAATAACCTACCCCCCCCAAAAAACCCCCAAAAAGCAAACAAAACAATTATGTATGTAGGAGGTTAATTACTGCAGCATTATTCATAATACCCAAAGACTGCACAAAACTAAAGTTCGATCGATACAGGACTTGTTATATAAAAATCTCAATTCATATGGTAGTATATGCACAGTGAAAAAGGATGAGGCAGATCTTTATGTTCTGGTGTGGAAGAATCTGTAAGGGCAGAATAGAGTAAGAATAGTATGCTATCATTTGTGTTAAAAATACATATTTATATAGTATCTATATCTGCAACAGTAGTTACCTCCTGGGAGGGGATCTAAGTGACTGGGAGACAGGGAGAAGGAAGACTTAGTTCTCCCTTGCATACCTTTTGTGCCATTTGAATTTTACAGCACAGTCCTACATTATTTACTTTAAAAATAATATAAAGAACTAATGAGTAGTTTTTAAAAGGATAAGCTCCACCTGACAGAATGCCCTCCCTGATGATTTCCACTTACCCACATTCCACTCCTCCTTCAAGATACTAATTCCCAATTCCTTTTCTGGACAACTCCAGCCCAAGTACTCTCTCCTCTGATCTCCTTTGCTAGAAGTTACTGTGTGTGGCAAATCATCACACATTGCTTTATTATAGCACTTCTTTTAAATAGTATCAACCATCTTGTATTAAACTTTTCATTTTGTATTTTCATTTCTGTTTCACTGAGCCTTTTAGGGGTTGCATGGGGGTCTTGCAAAGATGAAGAGTGGCCTGCGGAGAATATGTGAGCAAGTAAAAGGGAGGAAACACATGAGAAGGAATTTGAGGTTCCTCCTTAAAGGCAGCCTTCACACCCATTTACCAAGTAGAGATTCATGTGAACCAGCAACCCCTTTTTACAAAATGCTAAAAGCCCGCGGACAGGTACAGCCTTCATATTTTACACTGAATGAACCCCGTTATCACAACATCACTTAGCTAAGAGCACGTGCACTCAGGGGATGAGAGATTGGGAGACAGAAGGGAACATTTTGAAGCAAAACTTACAAAATTAAAGATTAACTAGTCTAAACCCTTACTTCACAGCTCTCAAGGTAGGGCACTGGGGAAGTTTCAAACTCAAACTCAAGTCTCCTCTTTAAATGCAGTTGAGGAAGTACAGTAACAAGCTGTTGCAAAAGAAATCTGGCCTGAGTAGAAGATAAGGTCTTTCCACAGCAAGAAAGACAGGAGGGCTTGGTGCCTGGAGAAGAAGAGAAAGAAAACAGGAGGCGAAAAAGAGGTGGTTGTCAAGTTTCCTTCATAATTGTGTCCAGGGCTCCGTGACAGTTCGTGTCACTAAAAGTCTTCCGTATTAGCAGAAGCCAAGATAATCAGAACTGGTTTGGAAGGCTACTAACCTCAACTTCCCCTTACCCAGCTCGCTCTCTCTGCAACAGATCGAGTGAACTTCTGTTTAAAGCTCTTTAACGCTCTTTTCACATCTCCCTTTTCCACATCTGGAGAAGGAGAGTCGGAAAAGGAGGATGCAATGCAAACACAAGGGGTTTCCCTACGTCCATGGTATTTTTAGCTGCTTCCCCAGTATCTACTTGTATCGGAAAGTGAGAACCATTTAGGGTAGCCATGGAGGTAGTACTGTTCCCGGTCTTGTTTCCTTCCTTTTCTGTTAAAATCTTTCCCTCTGATTTCGGTAAAGCACCCCACTTCGGGCGCCCGGATTCTGCAGCTCCTCTCTCTCCTTAGGGACAATTCTGTAAGGAGTAGGAACAGGTTTTTAAATCAGGAGAGCTAGTGAGCTCTGGGTGAGATTTATACCAAAGGGGTTATCAGTCGCACCTACAACCTCCAGGTTTTGGAGCTCGGCTCCAGCCCAGACTACAAGTCCCAGGAGACCGCGCAATGACGGGGTGCTCCGGCGATCCTTCCCCCCACTCCTCTGGGTAGTGGAGAGAAAGGTTCCGTTCGCGGCGCACTGCGGCTTGGTTTGTTTTCAACGGCGGTGACGGAGGTTGGGAGCCCGGGCGACTGCAGGCGGGGGCGTCAGGAGGCGGATTCCTCCTGCCTTAAGCACTGGGGGGGCGGGAGGAGGGGAACCGGGCCAGAGGGCCGGGGACCGAGACGCGAAGACAGAGCAGGCTGAGGAGATGGAGGGCGACGGGGTGCGGTGGGGGAGCGAGCCAGTCTCGGGTCCCGGCCCCGGAGGCGGCGGAATGGTCCGCGAACTGTGCCGGAGCTTCGGCCGCTACCGCCGCTACCTGGGACGGCTGAGACAGAACCTGCGCGAGACCCAGAAGTTCTTCCGCGACATCAAGGGCTCCCACAACCACAGCTGTCCCTCCTCCCCCACGGACGGCGGCGGGGCCGAGCGCGGCCCTGCCGGCGATGTCGCCGAGATCGGGCTGCAGGCGGGTAAGGAGGGTAGCCGCCAGAGAGGCAGGCTGGAGAGGCAAACTAGAGGGTGGACCGCACCCCTGCCCCTGCAAAACAACCCCGGGGAGAGGCGGAAAGTGGAAGAAGGGCCGCGTGGCGGGGCCCCCGGGCCTGGGCCGATCCGATCCGAGATGCCGTGGGAGGGCATCCCTCCGGGTGGGGGAGGAGAGGGGCGCCAGCGACTCTGCCGGCGGGGACCAGGGGTCAAGGGGCGCCCGAAGGCCGGAGCTCTAGGAGCGGGATCCGGGGGAGCCGGCTGTGCGCGGGCGGGAGCGCGGAGGGCCCCCAGTTTGAAGAGGGCGGAGGTTACGCTTAGGAGTGGGGAAAGTTGCTCTGAATTGGGGGGCGAGCAGTAGTGGTCAGAACCCCAGTTTAGGGATGGAGGAATGGCAAGTGGAAGAGGGGCGGTAGGCAGGGCCACCCCGGAGCCCTAGGAGGCCAGGGACCTGTAGTGGATTTGTGTGTGTTTGTGTGTGTATGTTGTGCATGTGTGTTTGATTATGTATGTGAAATGTATTTACATCAATCAGGAGACAACTCTGAAGAAGTAAAGAACATCCTCTAAATGGGATTGGGGTCGCTAAATGAAATACCTGCTGGGTGCCAGGGAATTGCTTGAGATGTGGCTTGTGCTTATGGTAAAGAGGTTAGAGAAAGGATCCTTTTTTTGGTCCTGAGACGACATAATTCTCTCTAGGATGTGATAGAGGCCCTAAAGCACTTAAAATCTTGCAGGGTCTTTGACCTTTCCCAATTTCTTGCTTCCTCTTAAACTGCTGTTGGTGGGGAACTGGAAGGTTTGTTAACTCCTTCATCTGATTAGGAAACAACTTAGGTTGGATGGGAGAAGGGACTGGCATCCCATGTAACCTTGGGACAACATAGCAAAGAAGTCAGTGGGTTTCATTGAGTGAGTCTCCAGCTAAAGTGTGTATTAAATTTAATTAAAATAAAAGATACCTCAGTCTAGATCCCACAGATTCATTGAGTAGGTCTAGTGGGTGGGTCCTCAGAACTAAACCCAAACCATTGGTAGGGATTC